ATCTCACCTTCCATTTTGCCTATTCCTGTCAAACCATGTTGCAAAGAATTTCTTGATGCTGCGAAGGACGATCATGTGTACCGTCACGTCTCTATGGAGAATTTTGCATCGGTGTCGCTTTTGTGGTTCACCAGAGAGAAGGAATCATGGTTTCTGAAGCGTTGCAGGGAGAGTGGTAACTTGGAGATTGCGTACCGCGAAGGAATGGTTCAATGCTTTAGTTCTTCTGCAACTGTTAGGTTGGGTCTCGAGAATTTGAAAAAGGCGATGCTACAGGGTCACCACGAGGCCAAATACGTTTACTGCATGCTTTTGATGTGTGGTGAAGATGAAGGAGAAAGGAAGGAAGGTGTGGTGAGGCCAAATACATTTACTGCATGCTTTCGGAATCACGAGTTGTCTTTTTGTTGTTCTGGCATGTGCAATAGAAAGTGAGATGGCTCAAATTGGCATTGAGTATGTGCTCAAAAACATCCTCACAGTTCGCAAACCTGCACCTCCAGTATTTCCCAAAGGAGAATACGACCTTTTTAGCTTGTAAGGATATTGACGTTTTCCATTACTTTTCCAGACAATGAAAGTCGTCAAGCAAGGTGACGTTTCCTTCCTCTACACCCACGTCAATCTTAATGACATTTTCCGTTGATCATCTCTCTTGTGTGCATGCATTTCTGGGAGTCGTTACCAAAGTTGATGTTTTTCTTTCTCTTTTCAAATCCGTCGTGGCTAAAACCATAGTTTTAAAAACCGGACCGGTCATCGAACCGGTTAAGATACTTGATTAGTGGGTCAAAAGTTGAACCGGTGGGTCATTAGTTGAACCGCATGACTCGGTTTTTATTTATTTTTATTAAAAAAATATTCATATTAAATATATTTTATACTTATAAATTTTAATAAATTCATATCTTATTTTAAATTTCAATTTTTCTATCTTATTTAAAAAAAAATTTATTTTTATTTTGTAAAAAAATACATAAATTACATGTTAAACGGTACATTAATACAAATTAAAAATATAAATAATATGTACATATATAATATGTTTGCAATTAATATCACAAAATAATATATGTAATATTTACATAAATATTATATTATTAAATATATAATTTAAAATTAATAATATACTATAAAAGTTATTTAAGTTGTATATATTGCAAACAAATATATTAGAACAAGTAGTCATTGTTATATTTAATAAGACTCCTTGCTTTTTCATTAAGAGATTCAATTTCATTATTATTTTTTGTGGTTTATGGTCCCTTAAAAAAATTAAAAAAAAAAGAAAAAAAAATGATTGAACCGGTTTGACCCACCAGTTCACCGGTTGAACTGGAAAATTGACCGGTTCAATCCGGTTTGAAACGGGTCGACTGCATAACCGATCCAACTTAAGATTCGGACCGGCTGGACCACCGGTTTCCGGTCTAACCGGTCCGATCAGCTGGTTCGGTCCGATTTTTAAATCACTGGCTAAAACTATTTAGTTTGGTAAATAATTTTTTTAGAAGATTTTATTTTATTTTAATTTATTATGGCGAAAAAGTCCTAGTTTGGATGCAGGCCTTTTCATGAATCAAACATCTCCTCAAAGATGTAATATTACACACCTTCTCTTAACAAATTCAAACATTTTATACTTAAAAATTTATCTCTTAATTTACACATTTAGTAATTATTTTAAAAATTATTATAAATTTTATTAAAGTTAACTATATATATTTGAAAAAATAATTTTCATTATTATCACTAGCAGGAAAAAGGCATTCCGTGCCTGTATTGTATTAAATTAAATAAATAAATAAATAAAAATGAGAAGTTATTCATAAAAATGTAGTTATTGAAAAATAAACAAAGGATAAAATGGTCATGTAAAAATCAAAATCAAAAGTAGTTATTAAAAGTGACATCCCCTTTATATATTAGTATAGAAGTATAGATTCATTAGTTTTAAGTTCTTAGATTTGATTAAAAAATATTTTTTTTCTAATTTTTTAAAATAAAAAGGTATAATGGTAAAAAAAAATGAAGACCAAAGTAGTTACCAAAAAGAGTATCCCCTTTATAGATTAGTATAGATTATAAAATATTTTTAAAGTTATATATCAAATCAAAATAATATAAGTATAATAAAATCAAATATTAAGATATTATTTAATCGATATAATTAATATAACATATTTATAAACATTTAAATAAAATAATATTTTATATAATATTAATTATATATATATATATACTAAAGATAATATATATGTATTAAAGTATTATTTAATTAATGTTATAAATATAATATTTTAAGATAATATCTAAATAAATAAGTATTTTATTATAAAATATTATTTATTATATATAACTAATATAATGTTAAAATATGAATATTAACTATATATCTTTTAAA